GGGGGTAAGCACAGCTTGCAACACTGTTCCTGACTCTGTCCAAAGCCAAGATAAGTTTTACTAAGGATGTCATCTGCTGCCAACCAGCCAGCTGGACTTCATTTCCTTTTGTTACACATTTAAACACTCTACAAAAAAAGGGCTTTGCCAGCTTAGACATGTTCTGAACAAATGGTGAGTATATGTGGGTTTTTTTTCTAGCCGACCCTCTCTCATGTTCCTGCCTTAAGAAAAGCTGTTTTTAGATGTGGCCTTTCTGGCTGTGTCAGATCACAGCCTGCAAACCCAAAGCATAACCTCAAAAGAATGGCTCATAGGGGGCTCATATGAGGACACTCTGTGCCTCAAGGAAAACACAAACAGCAGATGTGTCTCGTGGAGGTGAAGTGAGAAGAGGGAAAAGTCAATGTACCAAATATCCTGCCTCAGACCAGAATGATTCTCGCTCTCCTTTTTTGCCCCGCGGCACAGCAGCTCCTTGGCTTGGTCACACCTCAGATCCAGCTACCTCTACACCCGCCAAACCCCTGCAGTAGTGTGCAACCATTCTCTAACAGGACACCCACCCCTCGTTCTATGCCATCTCCCTGTTTCTTTTTGACATCAAATCACACTCTGCAACAAATCTTTCCACTGTAGATTATTAATAATTCATCCCCTCAGACCATGCTCTCCACTGAATAATTGCTATAGTTATTCATGTATCTGATAACCCATTACCTGAGGAGCATCTGCTCTGATAACCCTATCACTGAAGAAAACCTACACCACTTCTTCCTTCCCCCTCTTCCACTCAAGGACTAAATTCCACTATGGTCACAATTACACATTTGTTAGAGCTACTTTAAAAATAGCACACTTTACTAAACACAACACACTGCATTCAAAATCATTTTGATTATACATAGTACAATGATCTTGAAAGCAGGATGTTACTGTATAGTGTATTCATGCACCAGAATTCATTAGCATAGACTTGTGGGATAATGCACAGTGCGTTTTGCTTAGACGATCAGATATTGTGCAGAGTAAAGCCAATCATGGTAATGGCTGTACTCTGGGAGTACTGGATGGTCCAGTCATCACCCTTGCCTGAGAGTGCCTTTTTCCAGACTTGACATTTGATATGTGACTGCTGCATCCATTCAGTTTTGTTTTGATCATTAGAAATACACCCACACTGTTCGAGGCGGAGTTGTTTGGTGTGTTGCTCACGAGTACTTGACTGCAGCTCTTGTGCTCACTGAGGTCGAGCTCTTTTGTGGCTGGGCTGTTACTGGTTGATCTTTGAGCTTGGCTTCAGAGAGGAATGAACTCTTGGTCAGTTATAACTGACCACTGGATGTGGGAAAAATAAGACCCCTAACACAGCTCATAAATACCACTGACCTGCCAGATTCAACTCGAACACTTTTTCTATGCGACATCCTTTTGTTTGCTTTTGTTGGTATTTTCTGATGCAAAAGGTCATGGTTTTTATTTATTTATCAACCCTGACCCCCCCCCCCATCTCAAGAGCATCACTTTACTTTCGGATCTTCTGGGAGGAGAAGTCAGCAAGTAATTGTTTACCAAACAGCAGAAATGTTGGTAAGTTCTCAAGCTAAATACTGCCCAAGAAACAAGATCAAATTTCATTACATTATCTCAATGGAGTGTATGTGTGTGTTCAAGTTAAATACTTTTGTCTGTGTCTCATACAGACTCACACAAACACACATTGGCCACTTCAGGAGGCAGTAGAGCAGAAGGAGTAATTAAAGTGTAGGACAGGTCACCAGGCCCGCGGTTCACCTCAACCCTGAACACTGGAGCTATTCTGGACCTCTGGGAAAATAAGAAGGGCTGCACTCAGAGGCCAACTTCAGTTACCAGGCCTAAAAACATGAATTACTCATAGGGCCAACACAAGATTAGACTGGAATTGGTGCTTTGCCTGCTCACATAAATCAGCGAGTGCTTCTACTGACCACAATATCAGTGACCGATTGTAAGGATTGTGTTCTTTCACTCCAGGTGCATGGCAAGTAACCGCCCTCTCTCAAACATTATTATTCAATTTGCACACATGTCAAAGTAATCATGCACATGGTAGGGCGTGTGAATGTTACGGTTATATAATGGGGATAATGCGGGGGAAGAGAGGAGGGGGTTAGGAGCATTCCAGCACACTGTGTTTGCACACTGTGACCTCAACACGGTCCAGATGTTTGTGACTGTTGTGATGAGTAAATGGTCAGATAATCACATTCTTGTCTGAGTTGCACTTAATCCAAGACTCTGGTTTAAGATTTTATTTTGTTTTCATTTATTTGCTTGTATTCTATGTAAATGCCTAAACCTGTTAAAATGTTTTTTGAGCAACTGACATTAAGCTACAATTTAAAAATCTGTCTCATACTGTGCCAGTCAGAGCCTCTTGTGGTTTTTAGATGTGCATTTACTTCATGTCCTTAAATTAACTGGGACTTCCATTTTCTGCTTTCCTCTGTATGTGTTTCTTAATGTGTGTTGCTGCAACTTGGCTAAACCAGAAAACCACAGTATTTTGGCACACTGTTATGAATTTAGTTTTTTCCAGTGTTGCATAATCTCTCACAGAAGATCCAATGATTTCTCAGAAGAAGGCCATGTTTGAAACTTTTGCACAATATTCCCCAAAGTAACCTTTCCATACACAGCAGAGACGGATGTACCTCCCACCTTTGGAGTTTCCATGGAGTTTCCCAGTTTAGGCAGACTTCAGCCTGAGCCATGGGAGGGGATGGGCCAATACAACAACAAAATCAAGGCCGAAAAATCTGTCAGTCTAATGAGCAATGAGTTACAAGACGGGACACATGGGCTTGATGGGCACACAGTTGATTTGCTGACACTGTTTTTATACAGAATTACCCAGAAGAGCTGTTATTTTGAAGACTATTACTTTGTTACATCTGCCTTGAATCTGGACACATTCTGACAAAAAAGCTGGTGGAGTATTTTGTTCTGTCAAAATCACCAGAGAGACCATCACTGTTTGTGTGAGACTGTGGCCATGTCGGCTGACAGACTGAGCAACATGTCAAAGGAAGTGAAGCCAGAGAGTGTGTTGCTGCATCCTCTGGGCACAGCAGCTACCCCTGAGCAGGAGCTGCTGTGTATCTTCGGGACGGGGGACTTAGGGCGCTCTCTGGGCCAGCGTCTGCTCCAGTCTGGCTACAGGGTGGTGTACGGCAGCCGCAGACCTCGCAGCTGTGGCCCCTTGCCTCAGGGAGCTCAGGTACGAAACAATGCATGACGTCTTCTCAAACTCTGAGATTCAACTTTTTTGCTGGCGTTTTTTTGCTGATTGTTCAGAACATGTGTCGCATGATGGTCCTGAACCAACTCAAACAACTGTGTCGATAAAAGTGCTGGAAAAAATAGAAACCGTTGTTGTCAGGCTTTGAAATCCGACTGAGCTAAACAAAGTCACTGATAATGTGTGATCATGTGTGTCTGCACATGTTGAGGCATTTAGTTTTCATCTGTTGTGTAATATGTGTTTAACTATAGTGAACTATCACTGAGCATGCTGAGCCTGAGCTGTGTTGCCACATGTAATGTTCACGCAATGTTCAACACAATAGTGTTTGTGTATGTTCTGCAGGCGATGAGCCACGAGGCAGCAGCCCAGTTAGCTGCTCTGGTCTTCATTTGTATTCACAGAGAACACTATGACTTCCTGGAGACACTTGCACCTCAACTCAAGGAGAAGGTATACCTTGTTGCACAGTCAGATGCCTTTGTGTAACAAAGCAGTTTGTTGATTTCTACTTTTTCATCCACTCTGCTGATTTCATTGATTGTAAGGTGCTGGTGGACGTCAGCAACAACCTCAAGAACAATCTATACCCAGAGGCCAATGCTGAGTATCTGCAGAGGTAAGAGGAAATCAGGCACCACTGTAATGTCATTTCCTAAAATATTGGGAGATCTCATACATCACGTGATTTGAATTACCACTGTGTTTGTTGTTTGTCAGGCTGATCCCTGGAGCTCATGTGGTGAAGGCTTTTAACACCTTGTCTGCCTGGTCCTTGCAGAATGGACCCTCCGATGCCAATAGACAGGTGCTGAATGTGTTTGAGATCTGTTGAAAAAATATTTTGGTTGTGTATTGGTGCATTTGACACTTTAATAAGTGCCAAATTAGGTGTTCTTTCTTCCTTGCTATTTAGGAATTAATTTGTTGGCTTCCTAATGGTGACATATCTATTTTTGGAATTAAACTGTTCAGCACAGCTTGTCAAATCCTTCTCCCACTGCTTTTTACAATTCTCTAATGTGTTAACACAGCGGGGCATTGACCAATGAGTTAAAAATAATAGTCTCTTTCAGACAGAAAAGTATTTCAGTCCAAACTATATTATTAACTCATTTTGAAGTTTTGATCAAACCAAATCCAAGTAAAAGAAGCCAAATCTGAAGAGTCATCCTTGTGTCTTTGCTGTGAATGCCATCTCTGATGTATCCTTGAATCAATTAACTCCACAGTCTCTCTTAGATCTAAGCTCTCCGTCACGTGCTTTGTACTCTTCCTCTGTACTGCAAAGCTGCAGCATAAGTGGGTTTTTCATTCAGTCCATTTTGATCTGGTTGTGCAATCCCCGAGGAAGGTAAAAAACACGCAGTGTGTGTGTTGGTGGGGGTATATGTTTATCTTTATGTATGTGTGAGTTGGTGTATTTGGAGGACAGTCAACAACATCAAATCGGTGTTGACTGAGCATTGGTGTTAGTTTTTTACCAGCTTTATTACAATAAATTTAATATTTCATACAGAAAGCCTTTCCAGGTATTATTCAATCCTCTGGAGTCAAAAGAATCCTTTCATCATTGCGTGTGCAAATGCATCAACATAAATGCATAAACATGAAATAATGAAGAGATATACTCCCAACATGGGGCATTTCGAGTGCTTTAAATACTATGGGTGTTTTCATGCTACAGGTGTACCTGTGTGGAAACAGTGCTGAGGGGAAGCTGACAGTAGCAGAGGTGGCCACCAAACTGGGCTTCACTGCTCTGGATAAAGGGTCTCTGTCAGCAGCCAGAGAGCTGGAGGACTTCCCCCTGCAGCTTTTCCCAGAGTGGAGGCTCCCGCTACGTGTGGCCTTCGGCCTCACTGCTTTATTCTTCTTCTACGTGCTCATTAGACAAGTCATCTACGCGTACGTTGTACAGGGGAAAGACATCTCCTTCAGAATCATGGTGTCCTTGGCCAACAAGGTAGAGTGTTTAGTGTCTGGTAAATTAGCATCAGTTCCTCTTTAAAAGTAACTGACTTGAATCTGTCTTCCTCTCAGTAACCACTTCTGTGTTTATCCGTCATCTTTCAGGTGTTTCCTATTGTGTCTCTCATCATGTTGTCTCTGTGTTACCTGCCTGGTGTCATAGCTGCCTTCCTTCAGCTCTACCGAGGAACCAAGTACAGGTCAGACATCAAAACAGGATGCACAGATATTTAGTGCCTGCAGAGAATACATACCAAAGTGTTTTATTGTATCCTACAAGTCAAAGTATGTTTTGTTTAAGGCGTTTTCCTGACTGGTTGGATCGCTGGATGCTGTGCAGGAAGCAGCTGGGACTGGTGGCACTTGGCTTTGCTTTTCTACATGTGCTTTATACTCTCGTCATCCCCATAAGGTATGTAACAGGTGCACACATCCTCATACTGGTTCATTCAATAAATGTTCAATCACATTTTTCTTGACAATATCAACCAAAACAAATTACAGTTTTGAGCTAATAATCATAACTGCAATTTCAACTGCAGTCAGTTGCCAGTTTATCAGGAACACAAAGCTAAAACTAATCTAATTTAAAGACAGCCCTGCATAAATCCTACTTTCATGATGGTTTTAAAGTTGAGTTTGTACATAAATATATGTAAATATGTTTATTTTGGTAGAAATAGGAATGGCAGCAGTACTGTTAATGGCAGCAGTGGTAATCACAGAGGAAGTAGTAGAAGTAGTCTTAGGAGGAGTAGTACCAGTGATAGCAGTAGCAGCAGAATGAAGAGTAGAGGCACTCACTCTTTAAGAAGCACTTAAAACTGAGATGTAATGCTATGTTGAATGAATTGTGATTGGGTTTTAAAATCGAGTGTATTAAATAACACATAATGATAAAAATCAGGCATTGTGGAAAAAATGAGAGAGAGAAAGAGCTGTGTGATGCTGACGTGTCAATTGTGAAGATTAATTGCAGCACACAGAAAGACAATTCAAACCCTAAGTACCCACAAGAAAGTGCAGCTAAATGACCAATCATTCAGAGTTATAATGCTAAACTACAGATGAATAACATAGCAATAACACTAGGAGTCTTTTTTTATTAGTCATGGTAACTACTACCTTAGATATGTAAAATAATTAGGCCTTATTTAAATGGTTTCATCCTTTTCTTCCCCAGATATTATGTGAGATTCAGGATCGCTGACCATACCATCTCACAGGTAAGACATGAATGTAATTATTCATATACAACCAGATAATTTTGCTTAGTACTGTACTGTTTCAGTATATAAATGGATTAAACATATATCTGTCTTGTTTACTGTTGCTTTAAGATCAAAGAAAACAAAACGTCAGTGTTTGACACCACCACGGCCTGGCGAAGTGACTCTTACTACTCCATGGGGATTCTGGGATTTGGCCTGTATCTCTTGTTGGGAATAACCTCTCTCCCCTCCGTCAGCAATGCTCTCAGCTGGAGAGAGTTCAGCTTCATACAGGTAGATACTTGCATGTTTGTCTGAGTCATACGATATGTGGGTGTCTGGATGTGTTAGAGTGTGTGAGCTTCAGTGTGTCTGCACATTCATAGGGACACACGAAATACAAAACACTTCTTGGGCTGCATCTTGTTTACACGGACAATCATTGGCAGTTGCAACTGGAGGAATGTGGAATTTTTTTATTACAGTTTCCAGTGGTGCTGGCCCTATCGATTCCCAAGCAATCTGTCCGCCTTTCCATGAAACACTTGTGTGTCCCGTACGTGTTTTTACAGAAGTTGTTGAATCACATATTGAACCTAAAATGACAGCGGTTTGTTTTTCTTAAAGAACTTCACCAACCCACAAATTGAGAAGGTACATATGTGTGTATACTCTCTAATTAGCTTTGCACTTCAATGCTTTTTTTGACAACATGGAAGACAGCAAAACCTTCATACCTTTTGTAGCCAATAGATTTGGTGCTCGTAGCTCACAAAAAGGAAACTGAATGGCATTCAAACACGTTGTTGGTCATTTTAGAGCCATTTCTATGATATTTCATGAGTATTTTTCTGAGAAAATGAATACAAACAAGCTCATCGAGAAAGAAAATTGGGACAACTGATTATCTCACCTCTACACTGTGGCCTTGAAAAGCTGCAAATGACAACCAGATTGATGATTCAGTTAACACAGAGATACATGCTCACAATATTAAACAGGCTTAGTAGGTATCCACTCACGATGTGCCCGTTGGAGGTATTATAAAGTGCGTTATGAAATGTTCTGTCTACTGCCACTACAGTATTGCACCTGTGTATGCACTAGGCTGCTGAGATTCAGTTGGTGAGGAATTTTACAGAGAAGCTACGGGACAATATTTGCAAAGATATTCCCATCATGTCCATTAGCCAAGATTCTAGCTATGACTGATAAGGACGATTGTGTGCGTCAGCCCAGATGGAAACAAGTTACGTGGGCCAGATGGCTGCGTACAACTTCCCATTGGATAACCTATTGGAAAGTGTGTTGGTGTTATTTCCATCCTTCCCTTGCAAAAACTTAGGATTGTTTTTACTGTTGCAGACACAAAAGTTTACCTTTTTTCCCACTTTGGCCAATCGAAAATGAAATCAGCCTCACTACAGGGAACAAACTAATTCATAAATGTAACTGGGTCATGTCAAGCTCATTTTCTCATTCCACACACCCCTTTACTCAAGCCCAAATTAGAGCAATGCTTTAAATGTTAAGTTATTCATCAATTGTAATTTGCTAGGCATACATTATCTTTCACCACAGTCTTTAGGTGTAATCCATGTGTATGGAATGGATATACTTGCTTGTAAATTTGCAAGTGTGTATGTGTATGCATGGCCTCTATCAGTAGTGGAAATATCTCTATATGTATGTGTGCACAAAGTAGATAAGTGTGTACACATGTGTAGGTCAAACGTGTGTCTCTGTAAAGGTCAGTCTATCACCCAATAAGCCTTTTACACAGTAATTAGTTGTGTAACTATGTGAATGTCTTAACTGTTTTTTCTCTCTTTCAGTCAAAGCTGGGATACCTGACAGTGTTCTTCTGTACCTTTCACACCTACTTGTACGGATGGGACAGGTTCCTTAATCCCTCTTCCTACAAATGGTACACTCCTCCAGCCTACTTGCTCTGTCTGGTGGTGCCTTCTTTGTTGATTGTGCTCAAGCTGCTGCTCCTCCTGCCCTGCGTGGACCGCAGCCTCATCCGCATTCGACAGGGCTGGGAGAGGAATGATCCAGAGGACGGCAGTGCGAAAGCACTGCTAACATAGAGACTATCAAAATTACTGACACAAAACAATGAGGCACAAGAAAATGCAGACACAAAGACCTTTGGCCTTCCAAAATCAACAGGTAACCCAGGGTCATTGTTTTGGATGCCAAAGACAACTTACAACAGCAGAGACAAATGACTGGAACTCCTTTCAGTGTCTAATTCTGTAATCATCTTGTAATTGTTACATTTTGTACATAGTATATGACGCAATGGCAATGTGTAGGTTTATGTAAATACCCTGGAACAACTTAAAGATTAAAGCATTAAAGCAGCCATACAGCATTTTAACACCAGTGTTTCATAATTTCACTATACCCATGTACATCTAGAGTTATTACAGCCTCTAACTCTGAGACAGGCGACTTTGTTGCATTTCCCAAAACATCAGCAGCAACAGTTTGACTTTTATATCTCAGAGTTTCTCTTCAACCTTCCTCTACAGTTGTATTTTCTTTGTATTTTTTTAATTTGTATTTTCTTATGCTGTATGTCAAATTGAACAACTGTTCAATAAACTTAAGCGTGACTGAACATAACTGTCTTCTCCCTCCCATATATATTTCATCCTGTTTAAAAGCTCAGTCAAACTCAGAGAGTGTCTCCCCGCAGAGTTGAGTGTG